GCCGCGGCCCGCCCAGCGCCGAGCCTCCCTTCCTCCGCCTGGGGGCGCCCGGTGCCCGGCGGCTGTGCCCCAGTCCCCGGTGGAGTCGGGGCTCGCCGGTGCGTCCCAGAGAGTGGGGATGCCGCGTGCGCCGTGCGCGAGGGCACGGCGGGGAGGAGTGGGAGGGGGAGACCTCGGGGGTCACTGTGATGCCCCTCCAGACCGCTGCCCACCCGGCTGCCGCGGCCGCAGAGTGACTGCTGATGCGGAAAACCCAGCTGGAATTACATACTAGAGCCTCATCTTCCGGAGGGGAACCTTTCCTTCTCTTCTTGTCTCACCTCGTCTCTGTTCTGTTCTTTTTCTTTTCTTTTAACGGTGAAGGGCTTGTGGCTGGTATGTTGTTGTGGTGGTTGTTTTGGTCTTTTTTGAGACAGGGTCTCTCCCAATGCAGTTCAGGCTGTCCTTGAGCTCACTTTGGAGCCCAGTCTGGTCTCCAACTTGCGACAATCCTCCTGCCTCAGCCTCCGGAGTGCTGGGATTACAGACGTGCACCACCACGCCTGGCGTGTGGCTGGTTTTGACAAGTTTACTAAATGTTTTCTTCCACTTCCCCCATCCCCCAGGGTCTCTTCTCAAACAGCTGCCCACCTCCTGCTCCAGTTTCTCGTTAGCTGGGAAACAATTCTCAGTCCTTTTTTTTTTTTTTTTAAAGAGAATGAAAAAAAGAGAGAGAACAATAGCAAAATGCCAGCAACATAGATAAAAACAAAACAAAGCGAAAACAATAAGAATGACACAGGGTTTCCGAACAAAATTTTAGGGATTAACAGTGGTGGTTATATTACATATTTTTATCTTCATTGGAGTTAGTCAGATTACCAGATGTAAGAATGCAAGATTAATCAAACCATTAAAGAGAATAAAAAATAAAAATAAAAAAGCTATAAACAATATAGTTTCACCAAACAAGATGATAGGAATTCACCAATGGTTGTTATGTTGCATATTGTTGTCTTCAAGTTAGTTGTTCAGATTACCAGATATAAGCATGCAAAATTGGTCAAAAAAAAAAAAGAAAGAATGAAAGAAAGAATTAACTGTTACTTTCAATAAACCATTAGACAACAGTACAGTTATCCCAGCTATCTTTCTGTAAGGAGAAAAGGAAAGAGGGAAGGAAGGAAAGGAAAATTCTCAGCCCTTTGACTTGAGCGTGCAGACTTATTTCTGATATGAAGCTGCCTGCTGGTCCCGGCGGGGGCGGGGGATGGGGAGCCCTCCCGCTCCACCTTGTCGCTAAGCTCCAGGACTGAATGGAACCACCCCAGCCTGTCTGGCTATGTTTGGGGACCATCAGGCTCATCCCAGCTCCCAGAGTCAACTTTTTTTTTTTTTTTTTTGTCTTTTTGAGACAAGGTCTGCAGCTCAGGCTGGTCTTGAGCTCACTTTGGAGCCCAGGCTGGTATCAAACTTGCAGTGATCCTCCTGCCTCAGCCCCCAGAGTGCTGGAATTACAGGTGTGTGCCATCACACTCGGTTTTTCAGGGTCAATTTAGCAAATCCTGGTTTTGTAAATCTAAACCTAAGTCTTTGCTGCAGAGTCATGGCTGACTCCTTCAACCAGAATTGGTCCCTTAATCTAGGCACTGCGTTTTGTGCGTGTCCCTCCTTCCTCTTCCTCCCTTCCTTCCTTCCCTCCCTGTCTCCCTCCCTGTCTCCCTCCCTCCCTGCCTGCCTGCCTTCCTCTTTTTTTCTCTTTCTGTTATTTCCACGTGCCAGATACTATGCAAGATGCCAGGGACACAGCAGTAGACAACACAAAAAGTTCTTATCCTCATGAATCTTATATTCTATTGTGGGTAACAAAGTAAACTTCAAATCAGTGCTCAAAATATCCATGAAATGATGATGGGGTAGATAAGATGTGGTATACTTCATTCTGTGGACTATCATTCCACAGTATAAAGAAAATGAAGCTTGGGATACAGCTCAGTGGTAGAGGACACGCTCAGCATGCATGAGGCCCTGGGTTCAATTCCCAACACCATAAATATATGAGTAATAATATTTAGACAAGCGGTACCACGGGTGCACCTTGTAAACACGATGCAAAGCGAAAGAATGCAGACTGAATAGGTTACCTGGCCTATCTCTCCATTTATCTGGAATGTGTAGAACAGGCAGATCCACAGAGACAGAAAACAGGGAGTTGTACCCCATCTGGAGAAAAGGTGGAACAGGGAGTGAGGTTAATAGATACAAGAATTATTTTTGGTGTGATTAAAAATGTTCTAAAATGAGCTTGTGTTGATGTTTGCATGAAGGTAAACACACTACAATCCCTTGAACTACACTCTTTAATAGATGAGCTAGTTGGGCATGGTGGTACACACCTATAATCCCAGCACTCCAGGAGGCTGGGGCAGGAGGATTGCTGTGAATTTGAGGCCAGGCTGGTCTACAAGGTGAGCTCAAGGCCAGCCCAAACTGCATAGTGAGACCCTGTCTCAAAAAGACAAAAAAATAAAAAGATGAACTGGACAGTATGTAAATTTTTCAGCATGTGAATGGACCAGCATGAAGACGTTCTTTTAAACATCAGGCAGTGTGTGGTAAATTTTATGAGTGGATGGTAACAGGGGGACAGATAGTGATGGGCCATAGAGGATACCTGGGAAGGACTTCTAGGTCAAAGCACCTTCCTAGGTGAAGGTTCTTTGGATGTCAGTAACAAAAGAAAGGAAAAAAATGCCATAAAAACAAACAGCTTGAAGAATAAAATGGAAGAGGATCCAGGCGTGGTGGCACACACCTGTAATCCCAGCACTCGGGAGGCTGAGGCAGGAGGATCATTGCAAGTTCGAGGCCAGCCTGGGCTCCAAAGTGAGCTCAAGGCCAGCCTGAACTGCAGAGTGAGACCCTGTCTCAAAAAGACAAAAAAAAAGGTGGAAGAGGAATTTGGGGAATGCATCCACAGGAGCCTGGGAGCATGAGGGGGCTCCACCTGTCTCCCATTTCCTTTCAGTGTTGAGAGGGACGGTTCTCCCTCATTGCTCTGTGCAGGTCCACAAGGGTTCTCTGACAGTGAAAATGCTTTCTCCGGTGTTAAGGCTTTTCGTCACCAGCACAGATATTCTGCCAGGTCTCTCTTCCTCAAGAAAACCACAGGTACTCGATGCTGAAGAAAGCTGATTTCTCCACAGTCGATTTGTGCCACATCACTATCTGGGGTACCGTCCTTTCCTGAATTTGGAGAAGAGACAGAATTTCTAACTAAATCAGAGATACTACCTTGGAGATGGGCGTCACAGCCTTAAACAACCTAGCTTCATTCTGTTGTCGCTGGTTTTTTTATTGGTCTTTTTGAGACAGGGTCTCACTCTGCAGTTCAGCCTGGACTTGAGCTCACTTTGTAGCCCAGGCTGATCTCAAACTCACAAAGATCCTCCTGCCTCAGCCTCCCGAGTACTGGGATTACAGGCATGTGTCACCATGCCTGGCATCACTGTTATAGTTGTTTATTATTGTAAACATTATTAAAAATAGTATATGCCAACTACTTGAAGGCAGAATTTCTCTCCTGTATCTTACTAATTTTCCTTGGAGGAAGGAAAATTCACACATCTCTGCCCTGCATTATAAACAGCTCCAGGGCTTTGGGTAGGATAATTACTAGAAGGCAATGAAATATTTAGTCAAGAAAATAAAAGACCCTGTACTCTAAAATTCCACTCTGCAAACTCAGAAGAAGTAATTCTTCTCTTTCTCTATTTCTCATAATGAAAAATACTTCAAATTTTGTTTTTTCATATTTCCTATAATACTTGCATCCATTACCTATCACATGTATGTATACATAGATATTAAATTCAATTCTCAAAATTCTTTTTTTTTTTTTTTTTTGGTACCAGAAATCGAACTCACGACCTTGAGCTTGCCAGGCAGGCACTGTGCCACAGAGCTATATCCCCAGCCCTCAAAATTCATTTCTATTATATTTTATGGAATATTTCCTGGGACAATTTAGATTCAATGCCTTTACTTTTATCCTCACTGTATATACTCCAGTACTTAATCTCCACGTAAAATCTAAAGAAAGAAAGAAGAAGACATAAAGGAGAAGAGAAATGAACCTCTCAGTGCTTCAGAGAGGTCGGCCGCCCCATTAAAACTGGGGACCCACCCGGCTAGATGATCGCTTATGCCCAAAGCCAGTAACGTCCAAAGAAAGCAAGGGCAAGGACTTCCTGTTGGACGTGGATTAACTGTACTTGAAGTAATGGTGATAAACCAGATACATAGTATAGTTTTTGAAAATGATCATTCTGGAGGAATAATTGAGACACATGGGGGTAGAATGTAAAAACAGGACATCTAAGACCAGATATAAATGGGAGGAATGCCTTGCATTCAGAGGGCATGAGAAGAAAAAAGTGAGGTCATAAATAAGGACCTCCTGCGGAATGTGGTAACTCCCATATCCAACTCTCCCAGAGAGAGCCAAGGGTATAGCTCAGTGGTATAAGTGCCTGCCTGGCAAGTGCAAGGTACTGCATTCAATTCCTGGCACCACAAAAAAAAAAAAAAAAAAAAAAAAAAAAGAGAGGAAAAAAATCAACTCTCCCCAGATAACCCCATGAGCTTTGGGTAAACTATCTCTTTTGACAAGGGGGACAGAAGATTAGTGCTTTTAGAACTTACTTGTATTTTCTTCTCAGTTTGATTCGTAACTCCTCGGAAGAGCAAAGCCTAATCGTATAGCAATCTCTAATCTAAGTGAAGAATCAACTGGTGGCTTAACAAATGATCATCACTCAAAGGGAAGGTGAGGAGTAGGATAAAGCATGGTTTTAGAGCCACATCTGAATTTCACTAATT